GCTAAGAGAAGCCAGGGACAGAAAGTGGGTTGGAAGCAGAGGTCCTGCTGCAGGAATTCAGGGTAGACACAAAAAAACTCACCCCCTAAGGAGGTCCCCGTTGAGGAGGATTGAATAAACTGTTCTGCATTGGGTGGTTAAGCATTCCCTGTATTGCCAGGACTGGGCCCATGCTGATGATGGCCTAGCACAGTATCTCAAGCCCAACTAAAAACAAATGGCTATAATTAGACCCTGTGACGAGAGACAGAAATTTTGGTGCCTGGATTGAGATTAGGACTTCTGGATTTCAAGTGGTTTATCCAGTCTCCCTTAAGTGGGTCGTTCCTGTGGACTACTGAAGTTGTGCCCCAAATCAAGTGCCCCAAAATCAAGTAAGAGGCATTTGATTTAATCCTTCTAGCTGGAACTCTTAGTTGTTACATTTGTTCTGCGCTCTATTCTAGCCTGCCACAGCTAATGGGGCCAGGGCTATGGGCATAAAATCGAAGGAGACGCTCACCCCTGAGGTTGTGCAAGCACTGACCCTGATCATATGTGCATGAGTAGAAGTCATTAGAAAATAAAACAAACTCTGACTGTGACTGAAGATTTCCCCCTGGCACCATGGAGTTGTTTTCATTTTGTTGTTTGGTTTTTCACTCCTGTTTGCCCTCCAGCAGCAGGACACAAACTCTGAAATGAGTTCCTGGCATTAGATGTGTTGTAAACTGGGTTATGGAGAAGGAAGAGGAAAGGGGGTGAGGCTGAATGCTTCCACTAGAGAAGGAGGAGGACAGATAATAAAAAGGAGGACCAGGAAGGAAGAGGGGATAGTGGACCACAGGCTGGAGAAGGTAGTTATACAAACCTGTCTAGGTGGCGTTTCTTTTGTAATATGCATGCTAGATGGGCGGGGGAGGGGAGATGAGCCTCCTGGGAGGATCACACTCCTCTCTTGTTTCAGGCTGTTCCTATTATTTTGCTTGACCAGATGCTTCCAGCCGATAGTTTTGAGATCTAGACATCTGAAGTCTATGCCAACCCTCAAGTGCCCTGAATAAGAAACTAGAAAGCGGGGCCCTACAGGGTTGCTTTGTGCCAACCTGAACTCCCTGCGGGATTCAGTTATTTGTGGGAAGCATGGTTGCCTTAAGACAGCCTGGGCTGGATGGAATGGCTCAAATGGCAATCCTATGAACCCTAAATGAGTGGGCAGTCTGGGTGAGGAGATGGCCTTTGCCTGAAAACACAAACAGCTCAGGACTCAATGTGCAGCAACCAGTCTGAGTGAGGATGGCCAATGTCAAGAACTTGGTCCTCAAAAAGATGCCCCATTAGCACCTTAAACCCCCTATGTTGCCAAGAATTGATCTTCTTTCTTTTGGAAATTAATAGATTTTGAGTATCATTCTTAGGTGAGGCACTCTAATGTCTCTGAGCTGCTCTGTGAAAGATGGCCTGCTTAACTGCTCTCATCAGCCAAAAATATCTGTTTAGCCCCACTTTCAAAGCTAGGTTAAGGAATCCAGTCTGCTTGATTACATGCTTTCAGATAGATGAGGGAGATCTTTGTTCCTTTGAATGTCAAATGAGGCAAAAGGATGTTGCCTCTGAATTTTGCCATAAACTTATACTTTTCTGTCCTGGGGAAAGTGATAAGAGGGCCAGCATGCATCTCATCCCCACTCTCTTTGCCAGAACTATGGTCCCTTACAGGTAGTCTACCACGACCCACAGTTATATACCTCCCTCATCAATCCTCATCAATGCAATGACAATTTGCAGACCTAGAAAATGGTCTGCATCAGAACCTTTACAGAACACATTCCAGAACCAGGCTCCTTCTGACTTTCTCCTCTGCCACCTCTGTCACCCTGAGCTTTTATTCTCAGGGTTGCACTTGGCTGCTGTTCTGTCTGGTTTGGTGTTTGCTTTTCAAGCTCCTTTCAAATTTAAAAAAATTTTCTGCTCCTTTAAAATTTTTATTTATTTATTTATTTATTTGTTTGTTTGTTTGTTTGTTTGTTTGTTTTATTCATACAAGCACTGGGTACAGTCAGAAGCACGGGAGGGTGAGAGAATTCACCAGAGCCAGAGCGGGGAGCAGAGCGGGTAGAAGGACCGAAGTACACTGCTGAGGGGAGCAGCGGGCGGCAGGAGAGGTCTGCGCGCCATGCAGGACCCTCCGCCGGTGGCCGGGGAGCAGCCGGGGATCGAACCGGCACTGCAGAGGCTGCGGGCAGCTTCACAACCCAGCGCTCAACCGCTGTGCCACCGGGGAGGCCCTGCTCCTTTAAAATTTTTAAAAAACTTTTCTTCTCCTTTAAAATTTTAAAATTTGGGGCCTTCCTGGTGGCGCAGGGGTTAAAGACAGCATTATCAAGCTATCAGCCAGCCACTGCAGCACAAGTTCAATTAGGCAGGCCAGGGAGCAACCCACTTGGGGCAGCAGATCTCTCCTGTGTCACTGCTGTTCCCCTCAGCTATGTATTTCAGTAGATCTGCCTGTTCTGCTCCCCACTATCTCTGGTGAATCTTCTCACCACCACACCTCTGGCCTATATCCCGGTTCTTGAATGCATAAATAAATAAGTTTTTAAAAAATAAATAAAATTTTAAAATTTAAATTATGGTACATAACATTAAATTATCTTAACCATTTTTAAGTATATAATTTGTTGGTATTAAGTATATTCACACTGTTGCACAACCAACCTCCAGAATTCTTTCATCTTGTAAAATTGAAACTCCATATCCATTAAACAGTAACTCTGGATTACTGGCAACCCTATTCTACTTTGTCTTTATTAATTAGGATCCTATAGTAATTGCAGTTTGAATTTTTGATGGACCGCCATGTGGTTTTCCATAATGTAAGCCTGTTCCTTTAACCAGCTTTCTGAAGGATCCCAAAGAGTGAATTTCACTGACACCTCATTGATCACAATAGGTCATGTGACCACTTCTAGCTGCAAGGGAGTCTAAGAAATCACAGATTTTCAAATGAGCATACAACAAAGCTTTCTGACCTGAGGAGATTCCTCTGTGCTGCCGTCATTTTAGTTGTTTGTGTCTGGGACTAAGTGTCTGAGTCTCAGCAGGGCGTATCCTGCAGATGCTGCCTAAACCCTGCCTACATGATTTGATTTCTGGGAGATCAGTGCACACTGAAGCTTCTGCTCCAGAAATGAGAACCAATACTTACTTCCTTCTCTCCTGACTTGTTCTCCAAGCAATTATGATAAAAGCCCCCCTCCCCACATACATACACTATATACTGCCCTGCACTGTCCCTTCACTGTCCATCACTGTTGACTCCTGCCCTCCCTGCCAGGTTATAAGGCCTCTGGGATAGGTCCTGTGTCACCAGTACAGGGCACAAAGCCAAGCCTGACTCTTGGTGAAGGGAAAAAAGTCAACTTCTCTAGATTATTTCCAATGTTGCCTCCAGGGCTCTGTGGCAGGGTTTCTGGCTCTCTCAGCCCAGGATACTACTCCTTGGGAAGCTTCTTCCCCAGGTTGTGGGCCTTGTGTATGGGGGCTCCTAGTCCTGACAACTATGAGGCCAGGTCCAGATTGGACAAGGCCTGACAGGGGAGGGGGAGCATAATGTATTGGAGGAGGAGGAGGCTAATAACCTCCAGATACTCTGGACCAGATGGCCAGGCCTTCCTCCAAAACTCTGCCCCCATTCCTAGGTGCAACAACACAGATACATATCAAAGTATGTTCAGAAACTCATGTGAACATAGATTCAAATACAGAGAATTGGTTATATGTGTTCGCAAATACAGAAACCTATGCACTCCTGCAATATGCACATGTACACACACGGAGTTGAATTGAGTTCAGCATTTAAATTCAAAGGTGCAAATCCTGGTTTCTCTACTTAATAACTGGATATCTTCAAGTAAGTTACTTAATCTCTTTGTGTCTTAATTTCTTTATTTGCAAAATGAGAATAATAAATGGAATTCACTGAGTTGTTGTGAAGATTAAATGAGATAAAATGATGAAAAGCTGAACCGTGACTGACCTATGCAGAGACACGTGCATGTATTCATAGGAATTTTCTAAGTCTTTCCCACACTTGGTGGCGGTGGGCTTGGCAGCAGCATGAGGTGTAAGTACTCTGATCCTGTCAACTGTAAAATGGGGGTAATATTATCTACCTTTCAGGTCTGTTGTGAGGATCTAGAGAAGCCCAGTCTGGAAAGCACCTAGTCCAGACCCTGGCTCACAGGAGCCTGCAACACTTGAGCTGTGGCTTTCTATAACCTAGGAAGAACAGGTGTAGGGACCAGATGTGCCAAAGCCAAGGCCAGACCTGCATCTCTCCCAGGCATAGCCCTGGCCTCCTAATAAGGCAAAGTACAAAGCCAGGGAATCTGAGTTGCTTCTCTTTGGAACCTGGTCTGGCCAGTACTCTGGCCTGGGACTGGGGGGGCAGGGCTGGTGGGGTGGCCGTGGGTGGAAGGGAAAGAGGGAAACCAGCTCAGTGGAAATTACCCTGCGGTTGCCTCAGGCGCCCACGACACACAGTATTTATAGAGAGCTCCCTGCGGCTCTTCATTCCCTGCAGTGGTGTTAACCCCTTCCAGGTCCTGGCACCAGCCAGGTGCAAGGAAGCCCGGGCCTGGGGGCGGACCGCCTCTGGCTCCCGGCTCTGGCTCCTCGCCGCCCTCCAGCAGGGTGGGAGTGATCGGTGGCCATTCACCGGTCCCCCTCGCAGAAAATAAACTTGGGATCTTGGGAAAGGGCTGGAGGAGGGGAGGGGGTGGGGTGGAGTGGGGGGGGTAGCGGTGGGTCCCGGAGCGCCGGGTCGTGCCCACGGGGGGTGGGGACCAGCGCGGGGGCGGGCTCGGGCCGCCCACCGCCCCTGCGGGGCCCATCCGGCCCTGGGGCGACCCGGGGGCAGCCCTTCCCGGCCCGCGGAGGCCGCCCGCCCCGCCCCTCGGACTCCCGGGGCCGCCCCCGACCCCCCTTCGGGCCTGGCCTGGCGGCGGCAGGAGCGACGGCGGCAACACGGCCGCGTCCGGGACCCCGGGAGCCGGCGCGGCGCGGTGAGTGCTGGCGGGCGCGGCCCGGGGCGGCCTGGGGCTGCGCGGGGGCGCGCGGGCCGCGGGAGGTGGCGGATCCGGGGGGAGGCGGCCGCCCGCGCCCCGCCGGCCTCCGCGCCGCGCGCCTGGGGCTTCTGGGCCCAGCCGCCGATCCGGGGGCCGGGGGTGGCCGCGGGCGGCCGGAACCACCTCGCGCCCCCCCGGCCGCCCTTCCCGCCGGGCCGGAGCCCCGGGCGCCTGGGGGACCCACCTCCCGCGGGGCGGCGGCCGGAGGCGGGCGGGTGGTCGTGGTCGCAGGCCCGGCGGGAGGGGAGTGGAGGCTCATCTGTCAGCGCCGAGGTTCTGGGAGCTGAGAGGAGCCGCTAGCGGGAGCCCGGTGGAGAGCAGAGGCGCCGGGGCCCTGGGACAAAAAGCCCCGGCCCGCCGCCGGCTCCGAGAGGGGAGCGGCCCGGAGGGGACCCCCGGGGATTAGTGGGGGAGGGGCCGCTCTGCTTGGCAGCCCCGAGCGGGGGACCGGCCGGACGACGGCCGCAGGCCGCAGTGGGCACGACGCGGGCAGGCTCTGAGAACAGGTAGGGACGGCAGGACTCGGGGAAACGGTGAATAGATGTGGGGCGTGGGGAGGCAGATGCAGGCCAAGGAAGGGCAGGGGGCAGGGGTGGGGCAGTTTGAACTGGGTGAGGCCCTGGGAGCTGGTGGGGTGAGGTGGGATGGAGGGGAGACCTGGTTGGAGGGGAGACCTGGACACCATGGAGGGCAGGTGGGGCACACAGAGGGGCGGACAGTGAATCCCGCAGCCCCACGGACTTCAATTGCTATTTTGCTCCCAATTGTCAGATTTGGGGCCTAAGGCAGTACCTGCTAGAAAAGGGCATTTCTTTCTAAGTCAGACCTGCCCTACTGAGAAATGTGTGACGATGACTCAGATACGGAATCTATCGTGAGGAAAAAGGTTAAGCAAATGTAGAGCCAACAAGCTGGGGGTGGGGTGGGGGGAGAGGTGGTTCAACTGAATTGAGAAAAACTATTTACCTTCAAATTGGTTGTGATCGATTGTGAATTTGTGGTTTCATCATAAGACCTTGGGTCCCTTTCTTACACAGGAATGTCTTCAGCTGTCAGCTTCTATATGAGAAAGTAATGAAGCTGTTCTGTCTTTAAGAGAAGTCTTTATATAGTTCAGCCTTCTCTTATTCTTTTTGCCCTCCCAGATCCCTAGGAAAAATGATGCTGTGCAGCCTTCTTTGTAGTTTTGGGACCTACACAAAGGTGGGGTGCTTTTGGAGGCTGAGGGAAATTGAAGTCCTCTAAACATGTCTGACAGGCTGGGCTTATCTGAGTGTTGGGTAGGGGAGGAGAGCTGTGGCCTGTGGGGTATTCGTGGAGGCTTATGTTTCCAGCTCTTTTGGGGCAGGGAATATTTGGGTGATGTATCTCCCTGATATCTGGAGTTCTCAAGTTTAAGCACTAACCCTTCCCTTAACTGTTGAGCATGCAAATCTTTCTCCCCCACATTAAATACATCACAGTTTGATATGAAGCCACTCCTGATGTCAGCAGATTTTTTCTTGGTGACTTAGGGTGAGCACAGGACATGTCAGTTTTTGCACTAAGGGTCTTAGTGTAGGGAGACTCTTGAGGGAGTGACCTTTGCACTGAGGCTTCAGCAATGTTTTTATTGGTCCCCTGACTGATCTTTCTTTGCAGTTCTTTTCTTTCCTACCCAGTCATTTCTCCCATCTGCAGGCAGTGAGCTTTCCAATGTACTCCAGACCTTGCTCCTATCAATCAAACCATCCAGCCTTTTAGAGGTGAGATAACTGTGTGGATGCTGGCTTGGGTGTGGGGGTGGGAGGTTGGGGGTAAGAGGAAGGCAGGAGGACAGGGCTTTGAACTCACCCAATTTTCCTCCCTGTCCCTGGTTCCCCTCTGCATGGGCACCTGATGGAAATACGTTGGCCAATATCTGAGCTGCTCAGATGGCTGACAGCCTGGCTGGGTGCTTTCACGTCTGTTGACAGTCATAGAGGTGCTGTCCTTCCTGAGGAGGCCGTGTGTCCTATTTCTGTGAGTGACTCTCAAGCTTTTCTGTGGGAATTCCCTCAGTCCTTCTCTGAGGTTAGAAGTCCATATTCTTTGGAGCTAGATCTGGGTTTGACATAAACTGGGCAGTACTGTTTGGGGTCAGAGAGCAGTGTGGTCATGGAACCATGGGTTGGGATTGCACAGCACCCAGAGAGATGGCTGGCGAGTTGAGAGAACAAGTCCCCTAGTCCGCTGCTGGCTGGTTGGCTCTTGGTTGGATCCAAATCCAAGCAGCGTCCCAGATTAAGACCACATGGAGCCTGAGCCCGTGACCCTGAGTCATGGGGTCAGGGGAGGAGGAAGAGGGCGGGCAGGATGAAGTCACTGCTCTTGAGGCTTTTTCTCTGAGTGGGTGATCCTTCTCACTGCTGTCCTTTTCCCACACCCCAGGGCAGGCGTGACAGGGAGATGTATCAGCAAAAAGGGGGAAGGCATAAATAGCCAGGGCCTGGCGCAGAGGGAAGAGGTTGGGACCTAGCAGGACTCAACAGAGTTTAAGTAGATGCAACTGTGTGTCCAGGGTTCGACCGGGATCTTCCCTGTGATTTGTCTTATACTCTTGCATCCCTTCCCTCCACTCCCTTCATTCCTGTACCTTTTCTGGCCAGACCTCTTCTGAGCTCAGTGTAGCTTCCACTTTTTCCAGAGTTCTGTGCCTCTGATAATGTGTGTGGACGCGCACATGTGTGTGTGTCCGTGTGTTTATATAGCCTCTGCATCTACCTCCAGTTGAGATGCTGTCATGCTGCCTTGTCAAGTGACTGTTGAGCCCTAGAAGATGGAAGCTCATTTGCAGGTTGCAGGGTTATGCTCTCAGACCCACTGAAATGGGTGACTCCCTCTGGTTTTGCCCCCTCCATATTCAGATGTCCCAATTTCAGTGGGAAGAGGGAGTTTGAGTGGGTACGGCGTGGCTTTGGAAGGCCAGCGTATCTGCTCAGTCCTGTTCTCCTCTCTTCATTGTTCTTCCTAAAGCAGTGGGGAAGCAGGCAGAGGATGCCAAGAAGCCCTTGGCCTTGCTTTGCTGGGCTGGCCCTGATGACACATTGCTGCCTGACTCACACAGCAATCACTTTGACGGGAAGAATTGATTTTGTTGTCTTGGGTGGGATCCTGGGGTTGGGCAGGGGTTGGGGAGTGGTGCCCGGTGGCTATCTTTGCATACAAAAGGCCCAAACTGATGCAGATATTAGCGGAAGGGAAGGTCTGTGGGACTCCCAGGGAGCTCTGGAGAACCCCTCTTCTCACTCCCCAGGCCCCCATCCACTTATAGATTACCTAGTCCTAATGAAATCAGTTTAGATAACTTTGCTCAGTTTCATCCTATAATCATCCTATGGGGGGCAGACTATATGACCCCCATTTTACAAATGAGCAAACTGAGACTTGGAGAGGTGTTTCCCAAAGTCACATGACAGGGAAGTGGTAGAGTCTGGATTTGAATCCATACCTCTGACTCCAGAGTCAGAGGCTCACTTTTTTTAGGAAACCTCTTGTAACTTCACCAGTCCAGCACGTGACCATGGCCTGGCCCCTCCTTTGAGGGTTTAGGAGACAAGAGCTGGAGAGGCAGTGGGTGTGCTCTAGTGGGCCCAGCAAGTGAGGGATGGAGGCTGCTGTAAAATCCACCTAGGTCTGGTGTTGCTGGTTTTCTTTGTTCTTTTGTTACTTGCAAAAGAATTATAGGTTCCTCCTCAAAGTTATAGAAGTGTATCAACTAGAGGGGCCTCCCTGGTGGGGCAAGGGGTTAAGACGCAGCACTATGAAGCTATTGGCAGCCACTGCAGAACTAGTTTGATCCCCGGCCAGGTTGCTGCCCATATGGTGCAGACCTCTCCTGTCTTGCCTGCTGCTCCCCTCATCAGTGTATTTGAGTCAGTCCACCTGTTCTGTTCCCCACTGTCTCTGGTGGGTCCTCTCACCCCCCGCACTGCTGGGCTGTACCCCAGTTCTTGTATGCATAAATAAATAAATCTTAAAAAAGAAGTGTCAACTGGAAAGTGGAAGTAGGCTCTTATCTCATTGCCTTGCTGGGCTCATGGCCACACTTCCAGACCCTTTTCCTATTTAAAAACATCCATCTATCCATCTCTCTATTTCAACATTCATTCATTCATTAAACAATGTGTGTAGCACTCCTTGTGTGCCAGCCCTGTGCTAGAATTAAGAATACATTAGTATAGCTCAGGGGAAGTCATATGATACTAGGAAACCCTGCAATGAAAAACAGGGACTTCCTTAAAGTGGCAGACTCTGACCCAGCTTTTCTGCCAACGTGACCCTCAGGATAAAGAGATGTTAGTCATGTCATCCAGGAAGAAGGAACTGTGTGTACAAAAACTCAGTGAGGCAGGAAGAGGATCCCATGTAGGAAATGGAAGAAGCCCACCTGGGCTGGGACAGACCAAGGGGCTCTGTCCACCACGGAAGAGGTGGTAAACATTAAAAATGATGCCGTGATAAACTGGATGTTTTATAGCCTTGTCTCTGATTGCTGCGTAGGCTATAGACTGGAGTATGGAACTGGGTGTGGAGACAAGAGCAAGGCATCAGTGGTCATGCAGGTAAGAGAGGATGATGACTTGAAGACCAGAGAGAGCAGCAGCGGTAGAGAGGGATAGAGTGAAGATATATCCAGCGTCAGCAAACTATTCCCTCAAAGGGCTGGAAAGAAAATATTTTTGGCTTTGTGACTATTGTAACTACTCCATTCTGGTGTGGTAGTGCCAGAGCAGCCACGGACAGTATGGGAATGAATGAAGTGTGGCTGTGTTTCAGTGAAACTATTTATGGTCACTGAAAATTTTAAATTTCATATAATTTTCATGTGTTACAGAATATTCTTCTTTTGATTTTTCCAGCCGTTTAAAAAGGTAAAACCATTCTTCACTGGTGGGCTGAACAAAAACAGGTGGTGGGACAGATTTGGCTCCTGGGCTGTGGTTTACAGACCCGTGAGCTATTTTGGGGTTAGAAGGGGCTGTTCTTGGTGATGGACTGTAGGGGTGAGGGAAACTCAGGCTTTATTGGAGGTGGTACCTTTGCCAAGGGGAGAGGTTAGAGAGGACGAGGCTTAGGGAGAAATCAAGAGTTTCAAAAGGGACAAGTTAAGAGGGACATTTCTGTGAGTCATTGGAACAGAGCTGTTTGGGAGACAGTGGAATTTAAGTTTAGAGCTCAGATGAGAGGTGTGGACTGAAGAAGTAAATTTGGGAGTCACCAGCATAAAATGATATTTAAAACCATGGGGATGGATGAAATCATCTGGAAAAAAATAGTAGAGTTGAGGAGGGCCTAGGAGCAAGACTCAGGGGGTTTCAGCACTGGAGAGGGAAGGGTGGCAGTACAGATAGAGAGACACAGGGTACTACCTCTGCAACCATGGGGCTTTACAGTTAGTTGATATGGAAATGAGGTCAGGCAACTTGTAACATACTTTTTTCAATCAACAATATGTCACGGACCTATTTTCCTATTAATACCCAATCTTTGGAAGTGTACAACATCCCCTTCTATGGATATGCCATAGTTAATGTCCCAGTTCCCTATTGCTCCCCATCTTTGCTGCTACCTGGGTAGCTTTGGGCAGTGGTGCCAGAGATTCTCTAAACCAGTTTCTGCAAGCCATAGCCCATCGGCCGAATTTTTTGCCACTTGTTTTTGTGCAGTCCACAAGCTAAGAATGGTTTTTACATTTTTAATGGTTGGGGAAAAATTCATGTGATTCATGAAAATTATATGCACTTCAAGTCTGAGTGTCCATAAATAAAATCCTTTTGGAACACAGCTCTGCTTGCTCATTTGCCCGTGACTGCTTCCTGCTACAAGGGCAGTTGAGTAGTTGTGACATGCGTTGGATGGCCTGCAAAACCTAAAATATTTACTGTCTGACCTTTACAGAGAAATGTGCTGATCTTGGACTTGATTCAACACCCAGAACCAGCAGTAGAACCACATTCAGGTGGAGGGGGGTATTTTGTACAGGAGGGTACAATCTAGAAAAAAAAAAATCTTTGATGCCTGAAATTCTACCACTGACTTATTTTGAGTAAACAGTTGCCCTTTAAAAAATATCTCCCTTTAAAATTAAGTTCTCCTCAATAAGGTTAACATTGCATATTGATCAGTTAATCAGAAAGAAGGCCTGGTCATGTGCTAAGGCCAGAGGCGAGGGGTCAGCCCCACCAGCACCATCTGGGCTGGGTTCCCTGCAGGAAAGTGGGGCCCTGTTATTAGAAGGAGTCAGTCTAGAACCACAGGGAGGCACTCTAGAATAAAGGACACGGAGCCAATTAACTAAGAATATCGACTAGCTACCAAAGGCAGGGAAGTTCTCAGCATTTATTTTGTTTGCTTGTCAAGGAAAGGAAGAGCAGAGTTTGTTAAGCAGAAATTCAAGCTCAGGCCAGTGGGGAGGTGTAATCTGATTGGAATGGATTTGTTTTCTGGCCCATGGGATTGCCTGTCCTGGTACAGAGTGAACTTGGAGATAAGATCTCTGAGAATCTGTCTGAGTATTTGAGGACAGTCTAGGGTAGACAGTAGGTGAAGGGGCAGAAGTAAGAATCTCAGCATTCCAGTTTCCTACTGTGCCCTGAATCAATCTAGGGTTCTTAACAACCCATCTACCTCCTCTCTTGAGTCCCATAGAATCACACTTTGAGGGTCCTGGCACCTCCTGGGGCTACTCTCTCCATTGTTGTCTTCAGAGAGGAAAGAATTCAAT